GATTTTAAATATCATTGTCCATGTAACATATTACGAGTCTTATAAAATCATGTAATTTCCTAGTAAATTTCAAGTGTGCAAATGTATTTTATATTTTTTATGTGTAATTGAAAATGTATCAATTTAATTAGCATTATAAACATAAAAAGTGTAATGATACATAACCATTTATTTTATTTATGTATATCATTTATACTGTCTATAATTAGTATGTAAATACTATAACAGTAGTTGGTTATGTACACAACTAGATACAAAAATATTCATAAATTGTATTGTGGAATTTGAAGAAAATAACATAAAGCTGTAAAGGCAAGGCAAAAGTAATTATAGGTAAATACAAATTGGGAAAATATCTAATTAAAAAAACATTATGTTTCAGGAAATAATGTTATTGTGGCTGAATGATAGAGGGCAAATTTTATAACACTTATAAGAATATAAATAGGTAATGAATGTTTAAAATCTGTTTAATACATGTTTATACCCAGGGTATCCAGTTTAATAATTTACATCAGAGTTGGTTTTGTGTATCATATAACAAATTCATTTGCTTGGGCTTTCTGACTAAAATAAAGTGCTTGTCCATTTTGTATGGAAGGGTTGAAGATGTACTGAATTCAATAATTATATCGAGCCCTTAATATTTGTGATCCCTTATGAAATTATTTGTTATACTGTTTCGCTCGTTGAGGTATAAATGATAAGTATATGCAACAAATTGTGAAAAATAAAATTACAAACTATAAATAAAAGTTAATATACCATTAAATTGCATGCAGATCCATGTGAAAATACTGGTTTATTAGTCTTGCTTTTTGAACATGCACATTTTCAAAACACATTATCATTTGCATGACCTTCGTTGATTATCAAATAATAATTATTATTGGGGTATTTGTGCATCACCATTTGTATTAAGTGTATTTCATGTGATACTCGATTAATTGTAATATTTAAATCAATATTACATGTTTATTATTTTAATTTCAAATATAATAGCATGATTTCAAAGTATGTTTAATCTTATATTAGTATTTTTGAAGATGTTTATTCTACTTTAACATAGAATAAGTCAGTGATTGTAAAAATTCATGACAGTTTAAAAATGTTTGTTAAAAGTTTATAACCTTTGCAATGACAAATTCATGTTTATAGTTGTTATAAAGTATAAATATTAACTATCCGTGTTTCAACATAAAGGATATATGTTCTGTTTTCAATAAATTTTATTTAATATAATAATAAAACTTTTTAATATATTCAGATTTATTTTAATAAATACTGTAATGTTTTTCGACTTGATTTCAGGTCTTCCAAACGTTTAAAAATGGAAGCAGGCTACAATTCCCATCCAAATCGACTTGGTGCGGAATCTCATTACGGCGGAGATAATTTGTTTAATCAAGGCGGGCCATTTATGGTCTCACCCTCATCCTATTATTATGCCAGTCCTCCACCTGTTAAACCTCGACTTAAGGGAGACGCTAGTTCTCATTTAACAGAACTATGTGCTGAAGATAGTCTTGCTCGAAAATTAAGTATTCTCACAAATGCCTTAAATCAGGGAAAACCAATTCGTGTTGATGATCTTATGTCACTTCGATCAGACAATGAGGTAAATAATTATTGTCATTTTTATACCTATTTTATTACTCTCTTACAATCTTTTATAAAAAAAATACTTATGTTTCAATTTACAATATTAAAAGGAAGAAGAATTGTTAATTTCAGAATGTAATTAGTGTTCTAAACTGTGTTTACAGAGTGACCCTAAAGTAGTACAATTATTAGGAGAATTGCATACCGAACTACGACTTGCAGCAAATTCAAGACCAAGTGGACAACTAGAATCTCATCTTCCTGTACTAAATCCACCGTCTTTAGGTAAATTTCATTGTCTTCATTTTACTTCTGCTTTCATAACATGTTATAATTACAAATATGAATTTTCAGATACAAATACTTCTCAGTCAGGAAATTTTGATGCACATGCAGTTTATGCTGGTGACGATGCTATGAGTTCTGGAAGGTGGTCACATTTGGCTACAGCTGGTGTTCGCAGTGCATTATTGGCGCTTATGTCGCGCTATGGTTTGGAAACATACAATCCTTCCCCTGCTATCACCCGACCCCCAGGTAAACCGGCATCCAGTCTGATGCAGAACCTTTTCCTGCCCTCGACTTCCTCTCAGTCAGCATTCAGCTCATAATGATTTGTATATATGGACTCATTGCAGCGTTTTAAACTATGTTTTGTATAAAGTTGGAAAAGGTCTAAATTGCTATTTTTTAAATTGACTAGGCAAGGAAGTACAACTGCATCCAAGTTGTTTATAGACTCTACTACCTATACATAACTGTAAGTGCACATTCGGTGTATAACTTGTATATAATTGATATATTATCAAACCAGTTACTTAATACGGTACTTGTATCTTTAATAATATAAATGCTCTTTATAGTGCACATTCATGCGACAAATGAAATAAGAGCTTTAAAATTTTAATCATTCTTTCTTGTTTTTTCAAATGTAGATTTATTTTTTTCCATTAAGAAATATTTAATATTTATATATTTATATAATATATTTATAAATATATAAATATTATATATATATACATACATATAC